ATATACATTAATTTATTTTCAATTATTAATTATTTAAACATCACGTTTTTTGTATAATAATGTTCTAAAATATTCTAAAAATATTTAGGATCTTAAAGTAAGTAATTAATAATTTCTTGTGATTCTTGTAACGAATTATTTAAATCAAAAATAAAATGATACCGATGTGTGTACGAGATTGATTGAAATTCTTGATTATATTTATAGAATACCGACATCTCAAGATTTGTTCAACAAAATCACTGAAACTCATATTTTGCTCGACAACAATGTTTTTAATATTTATCCTATTAATATATGATTTTAGATGGTTAATAATACGTATAGACGGTTAATAATATTTATCACGTGTTGCATAAAGCTATTAAAGATTTGAACGTAAATAATATAAAAAAAATCATATTATGTAAAACGCTCGTTAAAAAATAATAAAATGATAAAACTACGATAAAATTATTAAGTTCTTATCAAAATAAAAAATAGTTATTTACATTAAATATTACTCTTGAGATAAAGTAAGTTTTAAATTTTTCATATTTTTATTTTTAATAATTACTAATTTACCTTATCACAGTTAAAATTAATTGTTTTCATTTATTTGAAATTTAATTCACTTAATTTTGTTGGCAAAAAATTTGAATTCTAAAAATATATTTTATTTATTTTTATTTGCAAAAAAATTAAATACGTGGAAAACAATTTTAATTATAAAACTTGAAAGATCTTTAATATAATAGAACATAAGAAATGTGTATCATTTTGATTCGTAGTAATAATCGTCTCTATAAATATTCTGCTTTTTCTATTTTCTATTTTTTATACATCGAATAATTAAAATTTTGCATCATATCGTATATCGATCTTATTATTTTTAAAAATAATACTGTTATTAACATTCAAAATAATTAAGAAATCATATATGTGTAATATATATATACGTTAAATATAAAAAATATAATTTGTATTCAATTTTACGATATTTTCATTTAAATTTATATCAATAAATAAATAAATAAATGATAAGATAAATAATGTCATCCTTTATATTATATAAATATAAAATACACAAATTATAATTTAATATTATAAAATATAAATTAAAATAAAATTAGTTTAAATCTAATTCACCCTATTATTATATTATATGATCATTTATATTACATTAAGAAGATTCGAAGATTAACCGATGATATTCCAGTATTTTATGCCTTACACCTATACCTTACACCTATCAATTCAATGTGTGTGTGTGTGCACTCTGTGTGCGCGTGTGCTTACGTGAGCAGCATCATGAGTCAATTTGATTGCGAATTCGTAGTAAAAATCTTCCGCGTAGGATGCCATCTCTTGTTCGGGTTTCCTGATCAATTGTAAATACGAGATTCTTGACGTGAAAACGTATCAAGAGGTACTGCGTCGAGTGCAACCGTACCGCCTACTTTTTATTCATATCGACTTGGAACGTGAAGTAAAAAGAAACAATTCAAAGATGATTAATCTATCGATTCGTTCTCTACTAAATTGTAGATATTCACTATGATTTTGAATCATAGCATTTTCATATTGTTGACATACAGAGATAGACAAATTTTTCAAAGAATATTCCGAGATAATAATGTTTACATATGTATTACATATATATATATTAGATGCTTTAACGTACAACTAATTTAGCATATAGATATTTGCATAGAAATTAGAATGGAAGATAACTTCTTAAGTGTTTGGAACAATTGGTGCAAAAATAAAATCTCAAAATAATATCATCATTTGACTTGTTAATAATATTAATATTTTTTCCTTTTTTTTCTTTTCTATAATTACTATCTTTAATTACTATATAATTATATTGCACAAAGTATACAAATAAATAGATTGTTATAAATTTTTGCAAATTAAAATTCAATATTTTCATATGTTACATGTATATATTTTCTTTTAAAGTTAATGTATGTATATATAATTGGTGGAAATTATGAATAATACATATATAAATACATATAATAATATGTATATATACATAATAATACAAATCGTTTTATAGTAATTTATAATAATTTAAATTCTAATAATTTTAAATTATATTTTATCAAATTTAAAAAAATTTAACGAAATATTTTAATTTAAAAATATTTCGTATTTAATGTTATTCTTATAACTAATGTACTTTTATTTCTATAAATTATATAATTGTAAAATATAGAGAATATGAAATATTTGAAAAAAAAAATCTAATATGACAATATTCATAATAGAATTTTATTTATAAAATCATTTTTAGTTTGATATTTTTTTATATTAAAAATTTCATTTTGTGGAACGTGATTCATTATATATAGAACGTGGAATATTATAATTTCCATCTTTAGAATCATTAGAATCTTTATTATAAAGATATTCATACAAACTTGTTATTCAGGATAATATTCTCAGATATCATTTCGTACAATGAGATCATTATGAAAGAACAGAGATTGTTATCGGTATATAAATTTATATTCTTAATTTGCTAGATGATTTTACTGCAATATGATAAACAAACGAGACATATAAAGACGTATAAAATATATGGTATGAAAGATTGTGTCAAGGTAATTTTTATTCGATTATACTTTCACACTGTGCTGATCAATTTTAACGGATAACTTGAAACACGTTATCATTTATATATTTTACAATTCATAGATATTTTAAATGTTTAATTTTCATTTATGGAAATTTATATTTAATAATTATTAATATATTATCATTAATTGCTTATGAAATATATATTATATTACGTATTCGAAAAATATTTAATAAAATATTAGATTTTTATATATTTTTTTACATAATTTTTAAATTAATGCAATTATATTTAATTATAGAAATTTGCATTTACGGAGATATGCATCGATATTAATTAACTAAAAAATACTATATATACAGTATATAATTATTATGATTTTATATATAATTATATGATATTATGAATTATATAAATATATTTAAAATTAAACAATTAAATTATGAAAAAGAACATTATGATATATAGAATAAACTTTTTACAAGCATTAATAAAAATTATATAATATTTTGAATTTTATTCTTAATTATATTGAATAATATAATTGAATAATATTGAATATTTTTGTTAAATAATTATATATTCAATTTTTAATCATTTAGTCAATTTTTTTAACGATTATAAACAAATTAATAAAAATACGATCTTTATGATCGTTATTCGTTGCATAAAATTCAAGTATTATTATTCAATTTTTTAGTATTTCCAATATTCATTCGATTGTAAAATTTTGCTAATTTGAGCTATAATTTGAGATAAAGCACCGTGATCACACTTCTTCGATCAACCTTGAATTATTTTTTCGCGTTTCTCTAAGAATCTAACAACTGTATATGTTATATAATGTCCTATTCCGAACAGGATATTTACTCACATCTATACCTGTGAATCATGCACAAAGATTTAACTTAATCTATAATATTATTTTTATACTTTTTTTTTTTTGCGGATTTTATTATCATATAATATATCTAATTATTCTTCAGTGAATAATTAGATGCATCGTTTATCGTTATAATTCTCTTAGAATCTATATTTTTTATTTCAATGAATTTTACTATAGTAAAGTAATTAATTTTAAAATTATATTCATTATAGTATAATATAGATAATATCATAATAATATCATAAAAGATCATTTACGAAATATTTTAATAGAAATAAACATAAATAATATATTTTAAACGTATTTAAACATATAAAATATAGTATACGTAAAATAGAAGATATCAATTGTAATTATAATATTGTAAATAAAACAAGATATATTTAAACAAAGAATAATATATAGACAATTATAAAATAGAATCTTGTTTTCCTGCAATAGATGTATTTACCTTCATTTATCGTTATTTTTATTTTCTAAAAAATCGTTAAAAAAAACGACAACGCCACTCCTATCTCTTGTATCACACACACATCTAATCCACAAGCTCTTATCTCTTTTTCTTTCTCTCGCATGCTTACAATATCTCACTTTTTCATTCATTCTATACGATCACTCACTCCTTATACACATTATATCACTTTTTTTTTATTTTTTCATATATTTAATGTAGCAACGAAATTTTATTTTATATTCTTTTTATCGTAACATTCATCAAAATATTTAATTTTCCTTTACAATTAATTCATTCATAATTTTATCTAAGTATGTAATTTTTCAAGTTTTCGAAATAAATTTTTTCATTTAATTTTATTCTTCATGTGCTTTATTCTTGAATATATATATAATTGTTCACAAATAATGTACATTATATATTATATAAATATGTATATTATATATATTTACAATGTCATCAGCTTTTCGAATAATTAACACTGTTGCTGCAATGTTCCAAGGTTGAAGAATGTCCATATGTACGTATATTTACAGGACATATTCTTAACAATAATTATCATTTAAACCTTTTTCTTCTTCCATTCTAAATTTTCGTTTGAAATCAAATTATTTTCTTCCATATCATAGAATTATTCTTAAATCTTTTCTTAATTTAAACTTTCCATAGTTTTTTTATATATTCGTAATTTCTATAAGCTTTACAAATCACTTTATTTACATTTCCTCTTAATATTTTCGATTGAAAAATCAATAATTTTTTATCAATAAATTTTCATTAATTCTTATTTAAATTAAATTATTATAATCTTATTTAAATAATAAATGTGTATCATTTACAAAATATGTTAATAAATTATTAAATTATGAATAAAATAATTTTTTTAAAGATTTCCTTACTCATTTGTAATAAAATTTGTATAAATCATTTCAATTTTTTTTTTATTTCGTTTTCAATATTTAAAAAAACTCAATATTATCGTTCTCTATCTGCAAAGAGAAGAAAGAATCAATTGTTAAATAAATCTGTAATGAAGATACGTAATACCTTTATTTAGTAGGTAACCAAAATATATATTACTCGAGCTCATTTTCTATTTGAAATTTAATCATGTCCTAGTCATTCTCTTTCGCATTGTTTTCAAATCGGTATCAATAATCAATCTTTTTATTTCCATCGCTAATGCATCATTTCCTGCCGCAATTATTTTTCCATTCATGAAATTAAATTTGTCTTCTGCAAGAAATTTATTTTTCTTATTTACGCTAACTTACCTACGCTATGAAATTGTATAATGATAACACTAAGCGATATTCTTAAATTAAAAATAATAATAATATAATATATATATATATATAATATCGAATATTTAATAATATATATATATTTAATAATAATATATATAATATAATAATATAATATAATATATATAATATAGTATACGTTCTTCTTAAAAATTCGATTAAACATTCGATATTACTTAGAAACATTACTTAGAAACATTAATATAAAATTCCGAACGTCACGCTTGACAACATCGGGAAAAATCAAGAATATAGGATGATACCAGCAGACCATGACGATATCTTCTCCTTTTCACTTATATAAGAATAACACTGTTCCAAAAATGGATAGAGAAAAGGAAAAACTCGAGATACTCTTAGAAAAAAATACAGATACTAAACGCAACGACAGTCTTTTTTTTCATTTAATTGCTTTCATACTTTGTTCCTTCACGCTCGATAAAGTTCAATTTATTTCTTACACGAACTTAAAAATATCAAATATTACTAAAGTATTATTAGCAAGTGTATATACGTATTATAAAAATTACAGTTTCAAAAAGTTTGCATTTTTTTTTCTTAATTTTATCAACATACCTTTAATATCAATCACAGTGCCACCTGCTTCTCGAATAATTAATATCGCTGCCGCAACGTCCCAAGGTTGAAGACTGTCCATATGAACGCAATCTAACGCACCTTTTGCTACAAACGCTAGAGCCAATGCAGCCGATCCCATACTTCTAATTCTAAGTTTGTACAATTAACTAAATATTTGAATCGTTCAATGCATATTTTCGAAATATTGATAAAAAATTTTTGATATTTTTTGAATATATCGAATTTTGCATACGATGGATAAATTAAATTCAAAAATTTAATACTTCCTCATAGATTACGATGGATTTAAAAATATCTCAAATCCAATGCCAAACTTAAGGATTTTTAAAAACATTTAATACGTATATATATATCATAAGGATAAAATAATTTTAAAAGTCTACAAGCAACTTAAAATAATTTTAGATCATCAAGGACTTTTAACAAAGAAATAAGATTCGTCACGTGAAGACATCCATACGGATATCACAAATAGGAGAACGGAGAAAAAGAAATTGACAACGTTGTATAGAATTATTTTGCAATACCTTTCATGATAATAAAAATAATAGTATAAACAATAATATAAATGATAGTAATAAATATAAATAATAGTATTCAAACTTATATACTCACCCTCGTACAGAATTAATGAAAGCTTCAAACCTTCCCCATCTGATATCTCGATTTTTCGAAGAAAAGCCAAGCGAGTATAATTCGATCTCTACCAAAGATTTTTTCATTTCTGTAATCCATAACACAAAGAATATTTAATTACATATTTATGTTATTCGTTTGACGTTATTTTTTTTTTTATCTTTTTTTTTATTTTTACATCGAACGAACGATATATTATTCCAAAATAATTAAGCTTACCATCGTATCAAAAATTATTATTCTTATAAATAATCGTTTTTCAATTGTACTTATATTTAGATTTTTACTCGAAGATTTATTTTAAGATGTTATTTTACCAGTAACATTAGAAGTCTTAATAGGTTTGTCGTTCAAATAAGCTCCTTGTCCTTTGATCGCGGTATATAATTCCGAATTGATCGGATTATATATAATTCCTATTACAATTTCTTTGCCAATTACCAAAGCGATGGAAATACAAGTATTTGGAAACGAATTTATAAAATTGATCGTTCCATCTATTGGATCTATAATCCAAGTAGGTTTATCCGTTAATATTGGTTTTTCTTTAAAATTACTCGCAGTTTCTTCCGCCATGAATCTATTTTAAAAATATTACCTTTATTTATAAATTCATTTATATCCTTAAAATCATAATTTACTTAATAATATACCAATGTCGATGACTTACTCGTGATCCGGAAATTTTTCTTTCAAATTTTTTACGAATAGATTTTCGATTTTTTTATCATAATCCGTTACCAAGTCCAATTCATGATTCTTAAATTCTATAATTTTTTGTCCTTCGAAACCATACTTAAATATCTAAGGAAAATGCAAAACACGATTAAACGTTATCCGATAAATGTTGATTTAAAGATAAGCAAAGATAAATCATTCTTATACGATTACCTATTAAGTTTTCTTTATATTTATCGATCGATACCGCAATATTTTAACAATTGACGTAATAATCAATTCGTTCGTTAAAATTATTTTTTTTATCATTCATTAAAAAATATATTCTTATAAAAATTATACGTAATATAATTTAATAAATTGATTTATTTAAATATTTATCAGGTAGCCGAATTTTAAATATTTGATTTTTCATATAAATATAAAATGTAAAAATAATAATTTGTTGTGAAAAATATTTTTTTAATTATTATTAATAATATTATTAATACGTATATATACATATTATAGATAATAACGTAACAAAATAAAAATGTAATAAAATAAAATAACAAAATTAAATGTTTTATTAAATTTCATTTGATTTTTAAACGTTTCGTCGAAATATACATGTTAATTTGATTTGAAAAAAAAATTTTTAATTTCAAATAAACAAACGCGTAAAATTTTTAGATATTCCGTTAATATTTTCCGAAAATTTCGGTATCATCGAAAAAATTTCATTAGAAAAAGAATGTTTTATTGTAACTCACCTCTCCTGCTTTCAAGGTTAGTTCTTTGGCGTATTCAAAGTAATTTTTGATATCTAATTCGCTCAACATGATTGCCGATCCCGAGACTTTCGACAAAACGACTGATCGATTGAGCGCGCAAATCGCTTGTTGGGATCCTCTTATCTTTATCATCGCGGAGATAAAAATCGCAAACGGTACACGAAGTAACTTCTAATCTAAACAGTCGAAAAGGATTTTCTATCTTCGAGATACTTCATGCATATCAATGTACGTAAGTATATAAATATTCGCATATATATTTCAAAATAATCTTAATTTTTTTAGACTTTTTTTTTTCGTACAAATTTAAGCACGCTTTCATCTTTTGTAACGATAAAATTCAGTTATACACGATTAATCTCTTTTCCATTTCCTTAATTATTATTCCTTAATTATTATTTTTTAAAACAGAAAAGTACTTTCGATTTATATAAAACGAAGTAAAAAAATATTTCGTTCAATAAAATTCTAAAGCCATAAATATTATAAAAAATAATTCGCGTCCGAATTCGATCTCTACCCTTGATTTATTTATTTATTTTTTAAATTTAACGGATTAATTTTTATTTCATCGATAATATTTTCGACAGTAATTTTTATTTCGTTATTATCATTAATTTTTTAAATTGCATTATACGGATTATCTTACATATTATACAATTTATATTATAAATTGTATAATATATTATAATATTTTATCATATCAACGTTCGAGATTAAGGAGGGACAAAGGAAAATAGAATTTTAATTTTTTTTTAAATTCTAAAATATTGTTTATAATTAACGTTATATTATCATTGCTTCAGGCAAAGAGAAACGAAGAAAAAAAGA